GGTCAAATTGGCCTCCTCGGTGAGCACTGAGGAAAGAGGTCATACAAGTGTGCTAATGCGCTGCAGGGAAAAGTAAAAACACCTGAGGTTAAGTTGTTTGCCTGGAAAAGTACCGTGGAGGGTGGGAGACAGATGAATCCTACGGAACTCTAATTGCTCATGCTCGTGTCTAAGTGAATAAAGCAAAGATGCGCCAGTCATTTGGGGCTCTATGACGAAGGGAGACAGGAGTCCTCTAGCCTCCTAGATTTTAACTTGTTTCTGTGTCTCTACTTTTCATCTTTGTCACCTCTTGGTCAGGTTTGAGCTCAGCTCATAGGCTGGTTCCTACATATATCAGCAGACAAAATGAACTTTAAGGCCAAAAGCATAATTAGTGACAGTTATCACTCAAATTCACTATTTTACTTTACAATCCCCATCTTGTATGTATTGAATAACCCTTTCAAAAATATATAACAAGACATCATAATTTCAAGGTTAAATTTGCCAACGGAACTATCATAGCAAACTTTAAATATTTATAGAAATTGCCCACATGTTTGATAAACCTTAAAGTAAGTTTCATATACTTTTTTTTTTTTTTTTTTGTGGTACCGGGGATCAAACTTGGGTCCTTGCACTTGTGCAGCAGGCGGCAAAACCACTGAGCTAAATCCCTGGCCCAGTTTCATATACTTTCAAAGAATTAGTATCAGACTACGTCCTCTATGATATAATTACATTAGGCATTAACAACAAAATAAATATAAAACCTATACATGTAGAAACAAAATCCATGAATCAAAGAAGAAATGTAACTGAAAAGTATTTAGAATATTACAATGATGAACATGTACTTATGAAAATGTATTTTAGATACATCTAAAGTAGAAGTCAAGGTAACTATACCAAACTCAGAAGGCTTTACACATGAACCGTAATATTCAATGAACAGAAAATTCCAATCTTACAAATCCTGAATAATAAATAGAAACATTTTACAATTTATTTCATGAAATAAGGATAACTCTAAAACTAGAATCTGTATGGAAGAAAGGAAAATGACAGGCCAATCTCATTCATTAATAAAATGTAAAACTCCTAAACAAAACAATAGCAAATAAAATCCAAGAAGATATACTAAAAGATAATATATCACTGGTGTGGGTGCCACACCCCTGGAATCCCAGCACTCAGGAGACTGAGGCAGGAAGATCGCTGAGGCCAGCCTGGACTACACAGTGAGTTCAAGGCCAGTCTGAGCAAGACCGTATCTCAAACAAAACAAAGCAAAATAAAACAAAAAGATAATATATCATAACCAGCTTGTGAAAGAATGCAAGCTTAGTTCAACATTGGAAAATATACTTAATCACCTCAAATAAGGCAAAAAATGTATTTAATCAAATTCCGCAGCCATTCATTAAAACTCTTATCAAATGAGGAATTCCTTAACCTAATAAACTGAACTCCAAGCTGGGAAGGACTTTCAGGAAGGCTCCTTAAAGGAAGCTGAATTCCATGAAAGTCTATCCTGTCCTCCCTACACTTCTCTGCTCCCTGGAATGGGGACTTGGTAGTTGAAATTCCCACACTTACCCTGGTCCATCTAAGGAATTTAATATGGAACTAGATATTGAGCACAAAAGAATAGAAAGACAAAAAGAAACCGAGCACCTGGTATCTTAGTGGCACTACCACATAAGTGCTATTGCACGGCTCTGGACTTGAGACTAAGCCTTTGTGTACGGGATACTTTCACTTATGCATACAAGCTCCATCTTAACTGAAATTCCATTTTTATTCTTAACAGTACTGGAGGCTCTAACATGGGCAAGAAAAATAATGAAAATATGTAAGAATTGTTAAGAAACAAAGCTGTCATTATTCACATATGAACAGAAAACTCAAAATAATCTTATAGAAGAAAGTTATAAGAAATAAGACTTAAACAAGACATCATTTCTCAGACCAGCAACAGTCAGTTAAAATCTTTAATTCAAAAAAAGAAACCTTAAAATACCAACAGAAATAAGGTACTTAGAAACATATCTAACCTAAAATTCAAAACTTTCAGGTAGAAAGTTTAGAAATTGTTTGGAAAGACTGAAAGAGATCTAAAATAGCTCAAGGATAGTAAGAGTCATCACTAAGATATTGCTTTCCCCGAAATAATCCAAGGTCACAATGTAATTTTGACCAAATTCCCAACATAGTTTCTTATGGAACTTAAAAGTTAAATTTTATATGGAACAATAAAGAGATAAGAATAACCAGGACATTCCTGAAGAATAACCCCAGGTATCTAAAAAAGTTATCATAAGGCTACCTACAGTACTGAAGAAAATGGGTAGCAGGGTGAGGACAGAAAAACAGGCCAATTAAACAAAATCATGAGTTCAGGAATGGACTCGATACATATCTGTAAATTTAAGGTGACACTGAAAGTTAAAGCCAAAAGAGCGATATAATAAATAAACAATGGCAGGACAATTTAAATAACAAAAAGAAATTGGACATCCATTTGACAACATGCATAACGCTCAATTATAGATGATGGGATATTAAGTATGAAAACCAAAACTATGAAAAAATTTTAATAATTGTAATATCTTTAAGGACTCGATGTAAAAAAGGATTGACAATTTTTTAAAATTGAATTTTCTAACTATATTAAACCTAAAAGAAAAAATTTAACTATACTAAGAGTTCTTTCAAAAAAAGGGGGGGAGGGTAGAAAGATCAGCCAAAGTATGCAAAAACAATTTGTTGCATTACTGCCCACACCAACATTAAAATCTCTCACAAGTCAGTAAGAAAAATAAAAATCAGCATGGAAAAAAATATAAATGGCCAATAAATATTTGAAAACATGTTCAACCTTAGTAGCAATCAGGGAATATAAATTAAGATCACAAGAAACCATTTAATATCCATGAGTTCAGAGGGGAAAAATTTCCAGGGCTGCCAAGAATGTGTATCAACTAGAACTATGCTATACTCATATAAAAGGGTAAACTGATCCCAGCATTTGGGGAAATCATTTGCTTTTACAAGCAAAGCTGAAGACCCACACCCTATGTTCTAGTAATTCTGAAATGCAGTTGCACAAACATACCACGTAATAACAAGAATATTCACAGCAGCTCTGTATGCGACAGAAAAGAACTGCTAGTGAATAAGAGTGAAATGGCAGAGAGAAAAGAATGAATTCCCTAATCACCTACGCTTATTAATCTCAAAAACAAGCAAAAGAAACAAGTCAGAAGATGTGTATGATCCCAATTATATCAAGGTCAAAGACTGGCCAAATTAAACAGATTACCATTTAGAAATGGCTACATGTGTGATACAACTATACAGAAATCTTAGGAAACAATACAGATTGCAAAATAATGTTGTTCAAGATAGACTAGTAGGGAGGACTTAACTGGGGCATGCAACTAACTGATAATATTCCATTTCTTAAACTAAATGAGAGGCTCACATGAGCCTATTAAATATTACAAAAATTATACATATCAGATATATATACTCTTCTCTGGTCATTATCCACTTCGTGATAAATTTTAAGGGACTCAAAAATAAAAATCCAAGAGGGTTGTTTAGAAATCATCTTCTTGTTTCTCTCTGTTTTTAAAAAAAGTTTTTGCTCGGCCGGGAATTTAGCTCAGTGGTTTCGCCGCCTGCTGCACAAGCGCAAGGACCCGAGTTCGATCCCTGGTACCAAAAAAAAAAAAAAGAGAAATGCTACTTTTGGGCCGGGGATTTAGCTCAGGGCTTCCAGTGCCTGCCTTGCAAGCGCAAGGTCCGGAGTTCGATCCCCGGTACCAAAAAACAAACTAAAAAAAGTTTTTGCTTAAAAGTGCCCTTTTAATAGTAATGATATTAGCACTGGTATATTAAGGGCCACTCCTTTTTTAAAAACTTAGAGATCATGCGTAATCTACCATATATAATGCACATCTGCGTCCTTTCCAAAGCAATAACATACTTTATTGACTTGCACCCTTAACAACCACCGCTTTTCTTTACACCAACTGAAACGCACCCAGCATGTTTAATGAATCCTTTAAACTTGTTTTAGCGACAACAGAATCAAGACAAATACATTAATTTTTTTCCCAATTTCTACAGCACCGTTTGAAGATATTTTTATGTCCACTTATGGTGAAATCTCCCAGACAAGGCAGGTTCCCCCAATCTCGACAAGAGACACCTCGAAAATCAATAGCCATTAGCTTTGCACCGCACTGTGAGCCGGTGACAAATTCGACAGTCCTCCAGGATCTTCTTAGCATATGTTATATTTCAGGCCTCCACCTCGCCCCTTCTGAGCGCAGGGCTCGGCGAGCAATGATGGAAAGACTGAGGGGGCGGGGGGGATAAAAAGCGTCCCTTAATCCTATGGTCAAAAGTTAAAATCAGTTAGGACCTTACAAATTAACCCCTTCTGTGCGGATAGAGAAAGTCGCCATGAGAAGCGCGCTTGCTTGGGTCTAACAGCTGGTTAAGCCTGTCGCCTCTGCCCGGGAGCCCTCTCCTCTATCTGCTACCCATATATCCCTCTATTCACAGCTAACACAAGGGAGAGCGAGAACTGACAAGTCCATAAAGTCACGAATAGAAAGAGTAGTACGTCATTTTGACAACCTCTCTTCTCATAGGTGGGGAAACTGAACAGTAAAGTGATGCAGCTGGGGAGGGGGAGATGAAATCGACCCTCTGCCTCAGAGCAAGGACCTCAACAAAGTGAAGATCTCCGACGATCCCGCTTCCCGTATTCAAGAAACTGGGTGTCAAAAGAAAAGCCCGAGACCCAGGTTTCATTGAACAAGCATCCCGCACCGCCCACACAGGACCCGGAAGGGGGTAGGCGGGGTAACTGTCACAGCCCGAACCGCAACAGGCAAGCCGCGGCTAGAGAGCTGGCTACCAACTTCCGCCTCGCTCTTCGGACTCGGTCCCAGGGGAGAAGAGGAAAAGTAAGGTTCGAGGTTTCCCGCGAGAAGAGATACCTGAGGCTCTGGCCGCAGTCCGTCGCTGCACCCGCACCGGAGCCCGTTACCCCACTTCCGGAGGTCAAGTCGCCGCTGGGCTGGCGGTTCCCGGCTGGTAGGCGCATGCCCCACCCCCTCCAAGTCCCGCCTCCATTGCCCTTTTAGCCAATGACTCGAGCCATTTTAGGAAAACTTTGCGTCACTAACAGCTGATCCCCACTTCCGTACGTAACTCCACGTTACTCAAGCGCCGTCCTCAACCGCCAGACTGCGATGCATATTTCCGCTTATTTGATTGGCGGAACTGGTGCGCTAGTTTTCGCTGATTGGTCCGAGGAAAATCTGCCCCATAGACGACTGCAGGGTGCTCTTTTTGGTCGACAGCTCGTTTCCCGCCAGCCGGAGCCGTAAACATGGTGGACGTAATGGAGTTGCCCAAATCGCGCATCAACGCCAGCATGATATCTCAGTTCATTGACCGGCCAGTCTGCTTCGTAGGGAGGCTGGAAAAGGTGCGCGGGCTTGCGGTCTTGCGCTCCCCGGTGTGTAGCTAGTGGGAGGGACCCACCGATTGCCAGTGTAGCCTACTCAGTGGTTAACGGAGAGTGAGTGACTGAACGCCTCAGATCATTATTGCCCTCTCCCGATCACTTTATTTTCCACACTCTTTAGGCTTTGTACATCTATTCTGGCGCCTTTTGTGGCGCAGAAACGAAATCTTCGAACGTGCTAGGTTCTAAATTCCAGCGGCCCTCGTCCCTGTTGTTTTTATAAGTTACAGATCTGACTCCCAAGTCTGGATTTTGGTTAGCCATGCTCGACTGACATCTATGCTAAAGCGCTTCTTTTGCTCGTTTCTACTCTTGTCTCTCTCCCCAAATTTCATTTTCTCGTTGAAGTCAAATTTCCATACAACGTCCCATCTTTATCTCTTCCAGATCCCATAGCAGCCCATTATTTAAAGTGTAGGCCCCTTAGCCTACTGTGAGGAATACACTCAAAGTCTCAGAATCAGTAACTTGAGAGGGTGGAGGGAAAGAAAATTTACAAGGGCTTATTTAGTGGCTCATTTCATCCACACATCCTGTAAGTGAAAAGAGTGTTAATTCTGACTTCACAAGTAGGGAAAATTAGCTGGAGTGCTGGATGTTTAACAAAAATGCTCAGGGGCACAGCAAGTGGCAAAGCTAGCTTTCAAACCTGATCGGACTGCTGTCTTTGCAGCAGCTTCCCAAGAGTGGAACCCAGATGTTTGGCAACAGGTTCTCCTTTTACTCATCCGTGGTATACGTGTTATAACAAAATCTTGAGTGCCTGCAGATTCCATTTTTAGATAGTTCATACTTCCTTTAATTTGTTTTTAACATAGGGTTGCCAGATTTGCAAGTAAAAACATAGGACCCACTTATATTAAAAATGTATTCATTGTTTATCTGAAATTCAAAATTAACTGGGTGTCTCATGACTAGATCAGGTAACATAAGATTGTTATTTGAATCACATAAACTGTTTGAAAAATCAACTGCTTGTTGCTCAAGTGAGTTAGGGTCAATCTGGTCATCTTTGATCAAATTCCTTTTATTTTAATGAAAATGTTAAAGGTTTTATGTGGGGATTTTTAATTGTATGTTTCTTTCTTAGATTCATCCCACAGGAAAAATGTTTATCCTTTCAGATGGAGAAGGAAAAAATGGAACCATTGAATTAATGGAGCCAGTATGTTTAAGTATTAACTATATATTAAATTTAATTCATCTTACTTTAACTTGTTATTTCTGATTTTTGAAGTGGATGTATAAAGAACAAGTTTGTAAAATGTCTCTAGCTCTACAGTGATTTTTTTGCACTCCATGATTTTGGGTGGGGGGTGGTTTTTCTGTGAGGTTTTTTATTTATGTATTTTGGTTTTTTGAGGATCTCGCTATGCAGTTCAGGCTGGCCTTGAACTCATTATGTACCCTAAGCTGGCCTCAGACTCACTATATTCCTTCTCCCTCAGCTTCTAAGTGTCAAGATTACAGGTGTTTGCATTCTCATGATTTTTTTTTTTGGTACCAGGGATCGAACTCAGGACCTTGTGCTTGCAAATCAGGTGGGGTGCCACTGAGCTAAATCCCCGGCCCCCATGATTTTTTAATACATCCCTGAAGTGTTGGTTGAATAACAATTCTGATCTCTTATGAAAGACCATAAAATCACAAATCAAAAACCTTTTTAAATCTTTTTTTTTTTCTCTTTTTGTGGCAGACTGTCCCTGTTGCTATATGTTGCACTGCTGCTTCAGCCTCCCCCATAGCTGGAACTATAGTTATGCACTTTTACCAGGCTTTAGTTTCTATTTTTATTTACAGATATTTTCAGTTATCATCTATTTCTGCATTTTATGTTTAATATGCTTAAAAACATTTTCTTGGTCTTTCATGAAAACAGATCCAGACACACTTTGGTTAATGTATATGGAACACATTTTGTGAAATATAAATTAGAAAGGATGCTTTGCAGTGGGTCCTTTAAAGCAAATTATTGCTTGTAGAAATTCTAGACATTCTCAATATCTTTAAGAGAATTTGTCATCATTTTAAATATTTAACTGTATCTTTGGACCTGAAGCCACTGCCAAAGAAAACATGAGTTGTAATGTGCTGGTAGTTATGTACTGATTTTTTAACTTTTACGGTTCAGTTTTTACATTGGTAAATTTTAAAGTTACTTTGTTACAATAAATAATTAGCGAACTGTGTAACGGCTTGAAAGATGAGTAAACTGTAATATTTTCCAAATTAATTATCAACTGAAAATGTGATTTAAACAAATTGACTTTTTGTTCAATGTCTTTTAGCTTGATGAAGAAATATCTGGAATCGTGGAAGTAGTTGGAAGAGTAACACCCAAGGCTACCATCATGTGTGCATCTTACATCCAGTTTAGAGAAGACAACAGTCCTTTTGGTAAATAAAGCATTCTTGTATTTGCAGGCAATTAAGAGGAAAATTTTTTGTATTCTTTATTGACGTGTTGGTCTTGAGTCTCATTCCTGCCATCCAGTCCCACAAGAAAATAGGAGGATGTTTTGGCCTGCTTATAAGTAGTCCTTTTAGTGAAGGCTAATATTTGTGGGGGCAAACAGATGGGGAGAGGGAAGATTATAGTGAATAAATATGATGATCCATATCTCAAAAATTTTAGAAATTGGATTGTGAAGATAGGTTGACCTTTAAGAGAAAGAGAGATAGATAATTGATGTTACAGCTTTTCACTGTAGATTAAATGTTTGCTTAAATGTTTCTTTCAGATCTTGGACTTTACAATGAAGCAGTGAAAATTATCCATGAATTCCCTCTGTTTTTTCCTTTTGGAGTTGTACAACATGAATCTTGATAAATTTTTTTATGATTACAAGAAGCTACATTGATGAATATTAAAAGAATCCCTTCAAATTTGAGGGAGAATTCTTTGGTTTCTAATATTTAATTTGTTGTTTTTAAATTTTCATTATCAAATGTTAGGTATTTCAATCTGCAGTTTTTGATGGCACTAGTATATTATTAACTGTTCTCACCTAAGTCCTTTTATTAAAAATTACTACTATATGGTATGGTCAGATAAGATGCAACAACAAAGCATCTGGTCTTGTATTTATGTTTCTATTTTACTAATAAAAATTTGAATGGTGTGTACTATTCACTTCATTTTTATTCTTTTAAGCATGTACTCAGACACAAACTTGGAATTTCATACCTGTAAGGTCATGTCTTAGGCCTACCAAATGAAACTCTGGGTCAACTGTGTTAAAGATTTACTTACCGTTTCATAAATTCTACCATGTTAATTATTTTTCAATATTCAGAAAGTGATTTTTTTGTTGCACTTTTTTACATTTTGTTAGTATGTTGGCAATACATATTAAATTCATTCATAGTGAGGAATTGGTACATATACATATCTCATCTTCATCCTTTTTACTTCTCCCCTCCCTCCCATCCCCCCATCAACATCATAAAGTGATTTCAACAATTGAAAAGAGCAAGCAGAATCCTACATCGTATGTAATTTGTGAAGTATCTTTTTCCAGATTTTAAAACAGCATATACTAATGGCAAACAAGTGACACATGATCATTGAAAAAGTTGATGGAATCATTTGATTTTTTTCCCCCTTTCAACTGTCGTTAATTATCCTTAGTATGTAATTCCTAACAAGTGACATTGGGGATGGGCAGGGAGGGATGTGGCAGGTGTAGGGTAGGACAGTGCAGAATAACTGATGGTCCCTAGCGGGTTGGATTTTATGTCTTAGCCAATTCTGCAGTGAGGAAGTTGAATAACTCCAAATCCATATAGGCTGTTAATTATACCAAAAAGTATTTATTTTAAATTAATACAATCTTAAATTTCAACTTTTATCATCCTCAAATACTCTGCAGATAACTTAAAGGACATTAAAGTATTTTATTATTTGAAATTAAGACATAGTTAACAATTCACATACACAATTTGCCTGTTTCAAACATGCAATTAAGTGGTTTTCAGCGTAGAGTTGTTCAGCCTTCACAATAATCAATTTCAAAACATTTTTGTCAACCCAAAAGACAACCCCATATACATATATTTACTTTTCATAGCCCAATCTTTCCATCACCACTCACTCCCCCTACCTTACACTGAACTACCGTGGTCCTCTATCCACAGTCTTGCTTTCTTTGGTTTCAGTTACCTGCAGGCAACTGCAGTCTGAAAGTATTAAAAAGAAAATCCCAGGAGTAAATAATTTGTAGGTTTAAAATTGCACCTTCTGAATAATGTGATGGACTCTCACATCATCCTGCTCCATCCTACCCAGGACACAAATCATCCCTTCGTCCGGTATACACAGATACCTGCTGGCTACCTGCCCATTAGTCACTTGGTGGCTGAGTTATATTCACTGTTGGGATATCACTGTGCATGTATCCACAGCTTCAAGCATTTTTTGGAGTCTTGAACTATATTCTCCCTTGGATAAGGGGCAACCACTGTACTTTCTCTAAAATTATCTCCATTCTGGACATTTAAAATGGAATGCTGTGATTTTTTTGTGAATGGCTTCTTTCTTTTGGTATGTTAAGGTTCGTCAGTATTATAACTTCTATTAGTGCTTCCTCCATTTTTAAGACTAGTATTCCATTGTATATGTATACCATATTTTGTTTTCCTATTCATTGGTTGATGAACATTAGGGTAGTTTCTGCTATTTGTTCATAATAATACAATTATGAACATTTGTGTATACATTTTTAGTATGTGCATATGTTTTCATTTCTGTTGAGAATATGCCTGGAGGGGAATTTCTGCATCATACGGTAAATACTTTTAACTTCATATTAGTAATTGGTTTTTCTCTTAAAAATGCTTTAAAAGTTAGAAAATAAAAGCCCTATGTTTGAACACTGCTATGGTTTTCCAGAGCTCTCTCTACATGGACAAACTATCTGTAGGACCTCAACATACTTCTCCGAAACATACATTTCTCCTTAATATGCCTTGGCAGTTGGTATATAGAACTATCCATCCTTTAATGGTTACAAAATAATCTATTGTGCCAAATGTTCCCTAATTTATTTAACCAGTCCTCTTCGTCTTCCCCATTAAGATGTCCTTGTAGATGAGGAACATAATGAAGCCTAGCATAGTGCCTGAATAATGCATCCAGTCTAGTTTGAGAAAGCAAAAAGACAGAAGAGGTAATGAAGGCCTGAACTATACTATGACACAGTTAATAAAGATAAGAGGCAAGGAATTCAAGGTATTTTATATTTGTGTATTTTATAGATGATAGATAGATAGATAGAGATTGATTGATTTTGTAGAACTCAATCATGATATCAGGAGCAAACAGAATAAGAACCAAGAGGTCAATGGGTTAAGAGACAATAAATTTGCATCAATATAAATTAGAGTAGTTGAGAGGTCCTTTAGTGGAGATATTTAAAAAACAAGTTTTCAAGTTTGGAAAATTTAGTGACTTAGTGAGACCCTGTCTCAAAAAATTAGAAGGGACTGGGGCTGTAGCTCAGTGCAAAGGCCCTGGGATCAATTCCCAGTACCTAAATAAAATAAAATTAAAATATAGGACCAGGCCTAGGAATATAGCTCAGTGGTAAAGTGCTTGCTTAGCATGCATGAAGCCCTGGGTTTGATGCCCCATAAAATTTAGGGTCAGACATTAAACAGTCTGCCTCAAGCATTTAAAGTAGAAAGAGTTTTAAGAGGCCTACCACCCTTATCTGCAATTTCAAAATCTAAAATGATTTGAAAAACCAAAAGTTTGTTTGGTTAGTTTAAGGCAATACTCATTTTGGCAGCAAATCTTAAGAATGCAGTGGAATTATTTATAGTCTTGATCTCATTTCAGATAAATATTCATATACCTAACTACACAAGTAATATTTTGTTTATAAGGTTCTGTCTCTCTCTTCATGCAGGGTGTTAAGTAACCCATAGTAGATACATTTTATGACTTTGTTAAAATCCAAAACTTCTAAAGTCTGGAGCACATCTGGTTTCAAGAGTTTCAAAAAAAGGATTGTGTTTCTAAATCAAAGGCATATTACAGAGTGAGAAAACCTTAGACCTACTGACGAAATCATAGTGGGCTGCACCATTTACACAGCAGAAGTAGGAGAAAATGAATGGAAAGAGGAAGAGTAACTTTTGACTCAGGAAAAGAATCACAACAGTGATTCCAGTGACACCTAGGAAGTACCCCGTAAATATTTGTTGATTGATAGAATATCCTGAAAGTCAATGAAGGAGTTTCAAAGACTATAGACTTTGTTTTTTGAAAGCTCAAAGAACAAATTAAGGATAAAATAGACATTCATTTATAAAATTTAGTGCATTTGTTTCTAAAAAAGATTTTGGGTGCAAAAAAAATGACAATCATTTTTAAAAGTGGATGAAAACTACAGAAACACCAAACCTAATATGAAAAATATATTTAAGCATTAAATATGGAAAATAAATATTAGCTCCATGTCTTCCTAAGAAGATAGAAAGAGAAATAGGCTATAGAATTTTAATAGTATTCAATTCACCAGGACAAACTTTTTCCTAATATTAAATTGTAGAAGAAATATCACACAAAATCTAGTGTAGGGGATAATGAACTACAAAATAGTTATCTTAAGTAGTAGTTTTATAGATGTTCTTTTTTATCTTCATCTGACAACCATAAAATTATGAAAGCATCTCTTCATACAACGAGTTCAATGCTCTGAGTTGAGTAATAAACTAGTATTATTACTAAATTTATAGAATTTTGAGATGGTCTTTTTAAGATATTTAATTTAATTTGCATTAATTCATTCAACAAATATTTTGTGTCGAGTCCTAAGCTAATTGCTAGAAATAGATACTGAGTCTGAAATCTGCCTTCTGAAACCTCAGTCTACAGCAGTCTAGCATAATATCTAAAGATGGTTCAACTCTTACTATCATTTTAATATTTAACTGGTCTAAGGTTTCAAAGAAATCCACCATAATTAAGAATGATCAGACTCTGTAGGTTTTGTTTTGTGAAACTCCACTTTGGGTTCTTCCCTTACTTAATTCACATGAAATTTGATTCAGATCTGTTGATGTAAGAAAATTAAGAACCCTGGTACCACAGGTTATCTTTCCTAAGAAGATGATGCTAAATCTATAGTACTAGCAAAGCATATGTTTTAAGTTACTTTCTAATAGTGATGTAGGATTGAGGTAAGCCAGTTAAGTTGTTTATGACCCCATTTGACCTACAGCATGGGGTTATGAGATGACTAATTAAGACCAGAATTGAACACTATGAACAATTTATAATGTAATACATATATCTTGATTGCAAAAAATAAAATTGTAATTAGAATGCTATTGTTTTTTCTTGATATATTACATAATTGCAGTGGCAGAGCACTGTGTTCTGTAGTATTTCCTCTTTCCTCGTAAAGATTTAGACAGAAATATAGCAGGTTTTGCATATTTTAAAAAATGCTGGCCTTAAAATGGTTGTTCCTTTAGGTGAGCAGATAAAGAACAGAAAATTTCAAGACAGATATCAAGAAACAATGAGTGCCCTAAATTAAAAGAAAGGAAAATATATGAGCAGAGTAATAGTTTGGGGCAATGCCACAGGTGACATTATGACTTAGTAAATCCCCTTTCCAAGCAACTATTCATTTTTCACAAGATTTTGAAATACTGCCCAGAAAAATAAGTAAAATACCTTGGCTGAAAGAATCTTACACCATAAAATATTAAGGTAATAAAGTTTAGTTACTGACGACTTTAAATGAATGGTTTCTCATTGAAAGACCACAGTATCTTGTCACCTGAATCTTGATAAATAGTAGGGAGATATTTTTCTAATGAATAATTACTAATTAAAAGATAATTTAATATTATTTTTCCTTTAAACACTCATGTAAGAAGTATTATTTAGATCCTAATTTTTTATTAGTTCAACTTCAGATAACACACTATGGTCAGTTAAAGCCAAATTATGTCAAATAAATTTAGCACAATTCTCTAGAAAATCAGAAACAGTACCACATTTCACTGCAACATTTTAATAGTTTTCTTTATCTTTTGAGAAGGTTTAAGTTTTATGAAAACAGTTGCCCTGATGGGAGAATATACTTTTCTATATAAGAGATTTATCTATCCTTCAAA